TTGGCATTACTCTAAAAGAAATCCAAGCAACTTTTAGCTAATATCAATATCCTTGTCCTTCCTCAAGATTATGCCCATGTGCGATCAAGTGAAAGGTTTTTACTACCATATGATTTTTCTGATTCATCGAAGCTTATCAAGCTTTTTCGAATCAAACTTTGCACTTTGTGCTTGAAAACAGGACAAGTTTCTATAAATGACCCATATTCTCATTATGGTAATTACATGTGATATTAGAATCATACCATTAGGGATAGGGTAGCTTTAATAGTTCTAGAATAACAGGAGATACTAAGTTATTTTTAATCAGTTCGAAGAATAATTCAGTGTAAGTCATAGGGATTGGATCGATATGGGCTCTTTCTTGGTTGTTTCGAGACTTTCTCAAACCACATGTTTGGTTATTAGGCATTGAGACTGGTGTACTAATAAGATTAGGCCTATATGTGGGTGTTTGAAAAGTTGATCGAAAGATTGGTTATGGACATGGATGGTAAGAAATTAGTGCAACATGATTAATGGCTGGATAATAGACAAGATATACTAGATGTGGATATGGGACATAACTTTTAAATTGCTGTCATTCAAAACTCACAGCTTGAATTTCATTTTCTTTTCTTCTGGACATCCACCTTTTTTGTATTAGAGGTTTCACTTTCTTCAAGCATGCCACTTTTAATGGCATTCTCTATCATTTTCCCAAAGATCGTCATATCAGTAAAATTCTTAGTGGCATTCCCAATCATTTTCATAATATGGAAGGCTTCAAAGTACTTATAAATAAAATAGTCATTTCCTTTTCAGTAAGAAATGGTTAAACTTGAGCAGCTACATCTTTCCACTTTTGTGTATACTCTTTGAAGCCTTCAGAAGATTTTTTTTCATACTTTATAGAGATAGACGATCTGAAACTAAGTCTATAATGTGTAGGTATTAGCGATGAATGCCTTTACAAATCATTCTAGAAATAGATAAGGGTTTAGTCTAACTGGACATATCACCTCACGACTGAGTCAATGAAACTATCTTAAAACACATGCATCAGTAATTTTTCATCATGAGCATGGACAGCCATTTTGCGATAATATATGGTAACATGAGTTACCGAGCATTTTGTCTCATCATATTTTTCAAATTCGAAGACTTTAAATTTTGGTGGGATGATCACTTCTGGAACTAAGCATAGTTTAGCTGCATTTACAGATATCCATTCCTTCGATAGCTCACATTCTTTCTTTTAAAAAGTTCATTTATTGCATGCTAAGGTCTTCCATCACCTTAGAAGTCTTCATCTTCAATCTTTATTTTTTTTTAAGATCATTAAAATCAAGGACCTGAATTGGATTATACATTTTTGCCCTAAGGGTAGGGTTGGTGTAACTATAAAATGGCATTTCAGGACATGCCTCAAAAAATGGCATTTGTAAGGCTTGTGTATTTGGAGGAGATTGGCCTTAATTTGGGTCAAATCCCGAAGGGTGTAGAGGATCTACAATATCTCGTTTCTCATTTGAATTTGAGGTATCTTTTACTGTTTTACCTTTATCTAATTTCTCTAGCATCTCCATCATCTTTGCTAACTCCCATTTTATCTCCTATTGAGCTTTCTCAATCTTGTCCATATGGAGACTTTGTTCCTGTTCCATTTGCCTTACTCATAATTGAGTATTATATAGGTGACGTGCAAGTTGGTTTAAATTTATCGACGGTCGAGCTATCCTTAAACCTTTGATTACCATAAATTAAGAAATTGCATTACTACATGCTCATGTCATGAAAGTAGGACTGTAAAAAATCTTAACATGTTTTCAAGTTAACACATGCGAAATGAATGGCAAAAATATATACAACCTAATGTTATCTTACTTTAATAAAAGAAAAATAGATGAAAGAAAAAACAATTCAATTAACATGCATCTATTATGACAATCCATGCAACATGACATATACAATAGTTAATTTCCACTCAAGAAAAATCAATCATTGTAAAAATGTAACTTAGCTGTTGCATTTTTCTACAAAAGGGAAAGGTAAAGCTCTAACTACAGGTTAGGTTCTTTATGTTCATTATATGTGGTTTAAGGTTGATAGTCTAAAGGTTCTTAAATTGTTCCTCACATCCTTGTCTATCACAGACTAGTGAGGCACTCCGATCCTCACCCATCACAGGCTACAAGTGAAAATGATTCAATTTGTGGGACTATTTTGCTAGTCACTGCGAAAGCATTAAAACTTCACGAAAGTACGGGTGCTTTACACTCTCTTAGAGAGACAGAGTTTGAGTATAAAGTTCATATTATGCACATGTATATGAATGACGTAATAAATAAATAACTTAACAAAAATATTTTTTTAAAAAAAAATCAATTTTATTAGGCTTTTGGATAACACAAATTTATTTGTTGGCTTGACTCTCGGCTTATCTCCAGTGGAGTCGACAAACTATCATAATGTTTAGATTTATGGACCTATCGCTAGACATTGATTTATGAGTCACCACCAATCTTTTTATTTATGTGCGATTGGTCACCTTATTGAACCTATCATTTTTTAAAGAGAAATTCTAAGTTTGACTTAGGTATCTTTAAAAGGTGAAAAACTAAAACTAGGTCTGAGAGTATAGTTACATGTGAGGAAGGTTATAATACCCTCACAACGTCCATTGAAAGATGGTACCAGCTCGATTCTATGTTATCCATTAAGCCTAAAAAATCTTATCAAATAGTTAATTATTGAAAATTATTTTTAATTGAGTCCAATACTTTTAACAAAAAAATAAGAAAATTTTCTCACCTCAAGAGTTTATAAGAAAATTACTATTTCTCTTGCAGGGGCACTGTCGTTAAATTGTTTAACAAAAAAAATTTAAGAAAAGAAAAAAAATAATGCTTTCACCTTTTATGGAATATCTTTTATTGCTTTGTTTTATTTTTCTTTTAAAAAATTCATACTTTAATACAAAAAAAATTGATATTTTTAATTTTTTTTAAAAATATTTTTAAAAATTTAATTTTTAAGAAAAATTGATACTTTTAATTTTTTTTTAAAAAAATATTTTTAAAATTTTTATTTTTTTAAAAAATTAATACTTTTAACTTTTTCTTAAAAATATTTTTATTAAATATATTTTTTATTATGTTAATATAATAAATACATCAAATAAAAAAAAAAGTACTCACGATAAAAATCGCCTGACTTAGTTTGGTAGCTAAAAAAGGGATTCAGCCGTAGAAATAGAAAACAGCTTGGTGGGTATAGCTTTAGGCTCGGCTTGACTGGTCAAACGACTTGACTTCACAGATTGGCCTGGCTTGAAGTCTGAAGCGGGTCGCAACTAGGTCAGATTGCCCGTGGGGCAACACGCAGATCCTCTTCGAAGGACCCCGTTTCTTGATTCACCGAAATGTTGCGTTTTAGTTTAACTATAAGAGTCAAAATTTTTCATTTCTGCTTTCTTTTTCGGACTTTCACTCTCTCTCTAACTATATACTTTCCTCCTTCTCTCTATAGAGTTTTCCAGAAACCGAGGAGACCTCAAGAACATCGATCAGCTTCGAGCTTTTCCAGATCTCTGCTGCCACTGACTGCCGGATGCTGCTGTCTGGTCAGCATTGGTCACCGTCCGTCGGCTCTGGTTGGCCTCCAAATCTCACCTAAACTTCACCTTGGTCTGCTCATCTTGGATCCGGGATCAGATTATCAAAGATCATTTCCTAGTTGCCTAGATTCAAAGTTGAAGTCGCAGCCTTCCCCCACCGTTTCGCTTCTTTTCATCGTCCGATCAAAGTGATTTTTGGCTATGTTAATCACTTTCCCTAGTTGCAAAATTTCACCATTCCAGATCTCCCAAAACTTAATTGCCGCTGTGAGCTGTTTACACTGCTGTCATCAACGGTGACACTCCACTTGCTTTCTGCCTTCTAACCAAGCGTTACTAGTTGTCTGACTATATTCGCCTTGTGAATGATTTGTGTATTCTGGAAAGTGCGAGATGTGTCTGTGTTGGACCTGTGTTTGCCAGTTGGTGGTATACAGGTTTCAGGTGGTCTAATTTTATGGATGTGGGTAGTGGTTGGGTGATTGAGGGCAATGGTTTGAAGATGGCGATAGTGGATTCAGGGTTGCTGTGCTTGGCGGTTTTGTTTGCCAATGGTCGCTAATGGTTGGTCATGGTTTCTAGATGAAAATTGATTGACGAAAAATCGGGTGTTAGGATTTGTGTGGGTTCGGTAGAGTCTAGGCTAGGCTAAATTATTGGTGTGATCTGAAGGGTTGTTTTCAATTTGGCAATGGTGCTTGCAGTTTCACACGGGGCTATGGCTGGTGATGGCAATGTAGTTTAACAATAGAGCTGTAGGATGCAGTTTAGCAATAAAGCTGTAGGGTGATGGCAATGGCAGAAAAGGCAAAGATGGGTGAAAATCGTGGTCTGTTTTTTTTTTTTTTTTTTTTGCCTCTCCTTACTCTGTACATCACTAGTTTATATAGGACTCAAATTGCTCAGTCCAACTTTTCAGATCAGTTGAAAAATTTTAAAAAGAATCCTTTTTCAAAAACTCTTATCCATTTATCCATTTTGTTTTGATTTCTCGAGAGTCCTCTTATTAGCTCAATTTCAAACCTTCTATTTTATAGTCTTATCACAACTGAAATTTTATTTTTATTATTCTGATTATAGCATTTATGTGCCACAGGTGGACTGAGATCAAAAATATTCTCTGTCAACGGCTTAGAGTACTCGATGACTGCATACGTAAGAAAATGTCTAAGGACCAGGCCACAACTTTCTATTTTTTTTCTCTGATTGGAAAATGCATCGAATTGCATACAGCATACGTATGAAATTAACACCTCCCCTGCGGTGCCATCAATGAGAATCGAACCAACCACAGCCCCATTGCCAAGTCTTCTTCAAATCCTGCTTCCTCTCTGTCAAAATCTTTCTCTTCCATCTTTTTGTTTGGTAGAATCTGATTGTTTCAGTGGTATTAGAATGATAGGCGAGCTCAGTGTCCACCGAATCAACCAAAATAAATTTAAAAAATGAGTGTCTATAATACATTATTTAAAAAATTTAATCAAGTGAGCATTTGTGCCGTTTCATTTCTTGCAGTTCTCGCCCAAAGCGAGGACAAAAATCTGCTTACCATCGGCCGGGTTTCAGTTTAGACACGTCATTTTTACTTGGGTTCCAGATCCGAAAGTCAAAAGGCTTAGGGTAAAAAAAACAAAAACATGTCGGAAAGTACGAAAGTGGGAAAAAGGGGCATTTATCAGCTGAGGAAACTTCTGAACGTGACAGCAACTGCCCATCCCATTTTTGTCATTTCAAAAACCTCAAACTAATTTCTTTTGACCAATCACAAAACTCGAAGTGTTCCAGTTTCGGTTCGGACAAACAAAAACAGCTTTGTTTTAACGTTCCTCCTTAACTCTCATAACTCCCTTGACTCTGATTTGACGTAGAAAAGGAAATTTGGGCTTTTCGTTTTGGTTTTTATAGAATGGGCAACTGCAACGGCCTTCCGTCCACCAATAACCAGTTTGGACCAGAGTCCTGCGGCGGCCCCCACGATGGCATCAATGTCAAACCTGCCGAACCATCACCGCCGAGACCCCAACAACCTTCAATCCACCACCACCCTTCCGCCGCTGCCTCCAATCACCGCCTTGCTACCTCCACCACTCCTCCGATTGGTCGCGTTCTCGGCCGTCCCATGGAGGACGTCCAGTCTAATTACGTCTTCGGCCGCGAGCTTGGCCGCGGGCAGTTTGGTGTTACCTACTTGGTTACTCATAAAGAAACCAACCAGCAGTTCGCTTGTAAATCTATCGCCACGCGTAAGCTTATCAACCGTGATGATATCGAAGACGCCCGCCGTGAAGTCCAGATCATGCACCACCTCACCGGCCACAGGTCCTCCCCTAAACAAAACTTTGATATTATATATTTAATTCTGTTATTTTTATTTTTTTGTTTTTTTTAATAAGTTTTCAGTCAATGGGGTTGACAGGAACATAGTGGAGCTGAAGGGGGCTTATGAAGATCGACACTCCGTGAATCTGCTTATGGAGCTGTGTGCCGGTGGGGAGTTGTTTGATCGGCTTATCGTGAAAGGTCATTATTCTGAGAGGGAGGCGGCTAATTTGTGTAGGCAGATCGTGATGGTGGTGCATAACTTTCATTCCATGGGGGTGATGCATAGGGACTTAAAGCCTGAGAATTTCTTGTTCTTGAGTAAGGGCGAGGATTCTCCATTGAAGGCAACAGATTTCGGGCTATCCGTATTTTTTAAGCCAGGTGAGCATTTTGGTTTCTCTGATTTGATTTTGTTTGACTTTGTGGTGATGAACTGATTATCAATATTAGTGCCATGAAAATGTGACAAAGGACTTATAGATGAAAAAAGGAGGGATAGTGAATTTTCATCCTAGTAGGGTGAAGCTATGATTGTTGAATTCATGAGTTGGATTTCTTCTGATGGTTGCTTCTCATGGTACATTGGATGCATAACTCTGAAGTTTTTTCTAACAGCTTGACAACAGTTACTTTGGAATGAGAGTCTCACCTTTGGTTTCAGTACATTTATATGTTGGTCATTGGAACAATATCTTCTTAGAGGCACTGTCTATGGTGTAATGCAAGACAACTAGAGACTCACGTCCAAGAGAACCGGAAAAGCATATTGTTTAGAACGGAAATATTGTAGCTATAGTCAATCTTCAATGATACGAAATGAAAATTCTTCTTAACTTTCTGTGTGATGGAAAAATCATATTGAAGATCTTTGTCAATCTTAGATGTTTCTAACAAGAAAATGCTACTATTTAACGTAAATTGTAAATTTTCATCTTTTATCTGCAATTAATCTAACAAAGTAAGGTAGATTCCAAGACAATTACTCACTTTTCTCATCACTTTTACTTCTGAAGACTTATTGATGACGGGAATCAACTAGAAAGTTTCTCCACTGATGCAGGAGATGTTTTTAAGGACCTTGTTGGAAGTGCTTATTATGTAGCTCCAGAAGTATTGCGCCGACGTTATGGACCTGAAGCAGATATTTGGAGTGCAGGAGTGATTCTTTACATTCTTCTTAGTGGGGTCCCGCCATTCTATGGAGGTACTACTTGTTTCTTGTGAAGATTAGCTGATCCTCATAATATGTTCTACAACCGTATCTTTTTCTAGGAGTTGAAAACTTTTAAAGTTTTAAAATTTCAATGATTTCCAGTTAAGCATATATAAAAAATAAGAGCTTATTTGCAATAAACATTGGTCAGCGGTGGGTGAGCGAGAGGGTCTCTCATCTCTGCTTTTGGTTTTGTATGCAGAAACTGAACAGAGTATTTTTGATTCTATTCTTCGGGGAAATATCAATTTCTCATCAGATCCATGGCCCTCTGTTTCCAGCAGTGCCAAAGATCTTGTGAGGAAGATGCTACGAGATGATCCTAAAGAACGGCTCTTAGCATTTGAAGTGTTAAGTAAGGTTTTTTTTTAATTTGAGAGAACCTATGGACTGATTAGGGTTTCTTGCAAGTCGATGGTGGTTGTGTTCTGTTGTGAAGGATAAGGAAGTTAAAAGCCTTGGACTTGAAACTATAAAGTTGGCTGTCAAATAAAATTTTGAATTTTTTTTGCCTCGGTTCTAAATTTCTTCAAGTTTCTTGGCAGTTCTTAAGAAAAGAAATAAAGTTTCACTTACAAATTTCACTGCAGGTCATCCATGGATGCGTGAAGATGGTGATGCATCTGATAAGCCTCTTGATGTTGCTGTTTTAACTAGAATGAAGCAATTCAGGGCAATGAACAAACTCAAAAAAGTTGCTCTGAAGGTGAATTGCTTTCTCTGTTACCATTATGAAATATTAATATTTAAGCTACATAATTAATGAATGTGAAAAGAAGATAATATAATGGGGGATGAGCCAATGAGGTGTTCTGACCTAAAAGTTCTGAAAGCTGAGAGTATGAAGGAAAATATTTAAGGATAATCTTCAAGAGAACAAGCTAAAGATGATTGTGTTAAGGTGATATTCCTCTTTTTCAAAAAACTTCTCTTTGGTTGATCTATTAGCCCAAGTTTATTTTGCTCATAGTAAATTTGAAATATCAGCCATCAATTCAACTATACGTAGGCATCTATAGGGCCATAGCATAAAAAACTTCTAGTCTATTTCTGGCCATTAGTTGATGGCAGCAATGTGGCACATAGTCATCATTATTATGCATTATTCTTTCTTTCTTTCTCCTTTCAGGTAATTGCAGAAAATCTATCTGAAGAAGAAATTATAGGTTTGAAGGAGATGTTCAAATCCATGGACACTGATAACAGTGGAACAATCACCTTTGAGGAGTTAAAAGCTGGCCTTCCTAAACTTGGTACTAAGCTTTCTGAATCTGAAGTGAGGCAGTTAATGCAAGCGGTATGCCTTTGTCCTTTTATATACATCCTCTGTAATAATCACTATGCTTTAAAATAATTTAATCAAAACTCCAATCTGATGATGGACAATAAATGTCTGGATGGGACAACATTGCTTTCCTTGTAGAACTTTGGTCAGTACTGATTAGTTCCATGCTTCTATTCTTGGCTGAAAGAAATAGGACTAGGAACAAGAAATTAATAAATTTTACAAGAAGAATAATGCTGAGTGAGGCTATCGTGCAACTTGCCATCTCATTATATTATGCTAAATAAATGACAAGATAGGGACCACACACATTGGGGACCCGTAAGTAATCCCTCAAACCAAGCTGAAGTCATAGTCTAACTTCTGCCCTGCTAAATGTGCTGTTGGAACCCTTAATTTTTCTAGGTAGCTATAGTGGTGCCCTAAAGCAACTCGAAACCACATATTAAAGGAAGGATGAATATACCCTCTCGGTGATTGGCTTAGTGTTATCTCATGATAACGTTTTATCTATATTTTAGTCTATTGCTGAGCTAATATGTAATTGGGGTATGCTCAATTTATGTCATTTTTTGTTTTGCAACACATCATCTCAGCATCCAATCATGGTATTGTTCTATGAATGTGTGATTTCTTGATTAAAATGCGTTCTGCTGGAATCTTAATCACAGGCAAGAACTGAAAAAAGTGTAGATGAATAATGGAAATATATCAAATGTATGTGTAAATCTAATTATGCAAAACATTCTTCTTAATTTAGCTATGGTATACCTGTTTGTTACTTCCCCAGGCTGATGTCGATGGAAATGGAACGATTGATTACATTGAGTTTATAACAGCTACCATGCATATGAATAGAATGGAAAGAGAAGAACACTTATACACTGCCTTCCAATACTTTGACAAGGACAATAGCGGGTAATCAGTCTTACCATCTTGTTATAAAATATAACTGTTTTCTTGTAATTGTCATTCCCTAATTATATGTTTCATTGTGATGACTGAACGTATATGTTTGCTGCTCAATTTAGGTACATTACAATGGAAGAGCTAGAGCAGGCCCTTAGGAAGTATAATATGGGTGATGAGAAAACAATAAAAGAGATCATTGCTGAAGTTGACACAGATAGGGTATGCTTCTTCTTCTTTAAAGACAAGTATTTATTCTTATAATCTCTTTTCAGATGCTATTTTTTTATTTGTATTTTCTTCTCTTCAAAAGTGCTTAACTTTGGCTAATAGTGAATCCATCCATATAAATGAAAATGCCAATTGGGGTATTGAATTATATTCTAGTTGTTATTTAGATAACCAAAACCTATAATTTTTCTTGACCGTTGTAATCGCATCTTCATAATTGATGTACCATGTTCTTCCTGCAGGATGGAAGAATTAACTATGATGAGTTTGTTGCCATGATGAGAAAAGGCAATCCAGAGTTAGTCAGTAACATACGATGCAAGTAAACTGAATGTGGCATGCTTGTCTGCTGGCTTATATTCATATCTGAACTGGTTGGTTTGTTATAAGTATGACCATGATCATAAGTGATCTCATTTTCACCACCTGGAATCGTGAGATAGCCCTTGCGTTGTGAAATCATTAGTGGTTTGTCTCTTCCTGCGCTTTACCAGAGAAATGGACTAGATTGCCATCAAACTGCTGGTGAGTGTAATCATATTGAGGTTCTGCAGATTTCTTTGGTTTAATTCTGGAGTGCCATGAACTCAAACCTTGGATGCATTGCAGATTTTAAAGAGGGTGGAGCATGGTTTTTAGTTTTTGCTTGCTTGTACCTTGTGCTAGTGCTAGAACACGAAGGATGCATTGTATAAATGGGCACGGTTAGTTGATCATTCAGCGAGTGGAGCGACATTTCTTATGGCATATTGTGCTACTAAAGTTTGGTTGGTTCACTTGACGCATTTGGCAAATGGTGCAAATCCTTGTGGAGTGTAGCAACCGGCAACTGGAAACTAAATGAACTCAAGCAGATGCTATGGTTCAACCAGTTCATTTAAAATGTTTATTAAGAATCGGATATTGTAATGTTATCCAGTTTTATACAAAAGTGGCATTCTCAATTGGTATCAGTTTGTTTTAATTCAGGTGGAGCCTTTATTTCTTTTTTATTGAAGTAACAAACTTTTTCTACTTTCTCCTTTAGTGTTATTCAAAGAAATCCCCCCTTTCCCCTCTCTCCCCTGTCCATTTCCAGATATTTGACCAAATGTCTTTAAGAATAAAGCTCATTAATAAACAAGCAAGCCTGCTGGTTTTTGATTAATACATTTACATTAGGGCCTATCCAATGACGCATGAAAAAAAAAATTTTAAAAATACAATCAATTTATATTTTTAAATTAATAATTTAATTATCCTTAATTTAGGGACATCATTTGAAGGAACCCTTTATAAAATATTAAAAAAATTGAGTAGAATTTTTTTTTGGTAAAAATGAAGATAGATATATTGTTTCGTATTTTAGGTCAAAATAAAATATATATATTTAATAACTTAAAATAAATAATTGTAAGTTGATAAAATTTAAATTTAAAATATTTTTATTGAAAAAGATGAACGTAATTTATTAAATAAATCATTATTAATAAATGGGTAAAATTTTTTCGATTGGGAACTTATATATATATATATATTTTAAAGAAAACGTGTTTGACCATCACAATTAATAGCATGAAAGGGACTATTATTTTTAGAAAAAGAATTTCTGATTTCCTGGAACTATTTTCAAGAAAAATGTATCCCTCGTTTCCAAACACCCATAAATCTTCTCGACCAGAAAAAATCACTCTAGGAAACTGGAAAGTAGCTTACAAGTTCCGTCCCTACTCTCAAAACCCGAGTCCGCAAATTAGGGTTTTTTTTATTACAATTCCCCAATTACTTGTAAAAAAATTTGCCTTTTTAATGCTAGTTGTTAGAGTTCTTGAAATTAGGGCCTCATGTTGAGTTCCTATTGCTCTCATTCTCTCTATCAGCGCCCAATTCTTGCACCTTCTCGCTCCAAATTTCGGGTTCCGAATCGACCCGGTACCTTTTCTTTGACCCGGAGCTCCCGGATCTTTGAATCCAATATCCAGCTCACAAAGAAAGTAAGTACAAATGCACAAGCATTTTTGTTGTTTTCATGTTTATTTTCTGTTTTTTTAATTTCATTTTTATTTTAAATTTTTGGTTTTTGAGAATCTGAAGTTCAAATTTTGAAATGGATTATGTTTGGTTATCGAGAAAGTGGAGGAAAAGTTATTTGGAAGTTATAAAATTGAAAAATTTTAATCCATTTAATAAGTTTTACCTAAATTATTCTTTTTTAATATTGGTTTTTGACCTGAGCTGAATTATAATTGTTTGTGCTTAGTTGCTGAGAAATTGGAGGAAAAAGAAAGAGTAAATTATGTATCAGGAAACTTGTTTTAATCCACTTAGGCCATGATAAATCTACAAAGTTAGTAGGTTTTCTAATTGGTTGAGTTTTTAGAGTTCAATTGTATATGTCCTTTATTGTGGTTATGTTAATGAAATTATGCTACCTGTACTATAGTGGTTTATAGTCATTTCTGGTTTTGTTTTTAATTTGCAGAAATGGAAATTTTCATGCTTTAGGCATGAGGGGGTCTCCCCGGAAAACCCAAAATCCGAATATATTGAGCATTTTTGCGCCGATGAATTAATACAACCTGAGTTCGATAAGTCTTGTGCTCACAAAAGAGATTGGAAATCAACACTTCAGGAGGTGATGTTTTCCTTCAATTCCGTTCAATATAATTGACCTCATATGTTTATTTTATTTATGTGTGCAATAGATAGTACTTTCAATTTATCTATATGCCCGCTATCTGTCATTGGTTGATCACTGGATCTGTTAGCAACCAGTCTCTTCATAGGCTGGACGATGAATTTATTAACTAAAGTTCAGTCTGAGATAGTATTTATTTGAGAATATAGGTGTTGCTTTTATGTCCTAAGTGAACTTACTGGCAACTAATGAGAATAAGTTAAATGGGCTATTATACTGAATATCCTCTGGCTCTTGGCATATAAACTAGGTGGTTTTAGAACATGGAAACTGGTAGAGTTTGTTCCTGTAGTTGGATTTTGTGGTTGTGACTCAATGGATTTATTAATCAACCTGTTGAGTATCTAAGCTTACATACTGAAACTGTACTGATATGGACCAAATGGTATTGAATGACCTGTAAACCTGATATGGTTGTTTGCACATTCAAGCTATGAAGAAACGATTGGCTACTTTCCTAGTAATTATAAAAGAAAGAAGGCTACGAATTCCTTCAACATGTATAATGCTGGAGATCCTACTTCTCTCATTTCTTTCATATCAAGTACTGAAATTGGGATTAAGACGTTTATTTTTGTTCCTTCCTTTTCTTTTTTTTTTTTCTTTTTTAGAATCAAAATGGATTTTAGTTTCAGGGGATGTAAAATTTGAGCATAGTGCAGAATTGTCAAATATGTCAACATGTTTGCTAATCTCTTTACATTTTCTTTCTCATTTCTTTTTTTTTTTTTTAATTTCTATGGAGAAAATGAAGAAATTAGTTGGTTACAATGCAGGCTGTAGATGCAGTCTTGGGGGCAGTTGGTAGCAGGTGGACTGTACCATGGACAGCAGAGACCATTCTGCAGGTTAGTTTGTTTTACTTGGTATTCTCTAGTAATATATTTGGCATCTGTAACTGGCTTCTTTGCTTTTATAGATGTTAAGCATGTTTTGCCAATTATTTATACAGAAATAAGCAGCTTAAGCTCCATGAGCTTTAACAATGAGCATCATGTGGCAAAGCTGCCAACTAGGAGCTGTAGGAGATGACATGCTGTGGATTCAAATCCATTCTTTTGAGCCCTAAACGAATCTAGGAGAGAAAAGAAAATTGAGAGTTTGTTTTACCTGCTTCCTAACATGTCATTGATTGTAGGTTCAATATCTGCTGGTAGATCGCAGCTGAACAGGAATAAATCTTTGTTTATTGTACTATATTTGATAATTGGCAATGGTTTGTCATGGAGATAAGTATTGAAAATGAATTTGAGTAAAGAAGTGGAAGAATATTTGATGATCAGTTAAAATCATCATATCTAACGGTAGATGTTGTCATTAATCAGTCATCCATACTAGCATTTTAAGAGTAGGAACTGTAATAAAGGATGTAACTGAAGGAATGGCATTTTGTATGACAGTCTCATTGAAACTTGGATGAATTACAAGCACGTGAATCAGTTGCATGATAATAGTTTCTGTCTTCACACAGGTTATGCTTCTCTGGGTAGCTGCATTCTGGTTCATTGGGTCTTGGATGATTCCTTTTGCAGCTCACATGGCAGGGTTCAGCAAGGAATCCCTAACATTCAGAGGACAGGCCCTGTTCAGCCTTGTGACTGATGTAACCGAAGGCCTTGCTGGGATTGCAATACTCCACCGCTGTCTGTCTCAGTTTCATCCCCTTCCATCAGATTGGTTTAAATTTAGCTTGAGAGGGAAGTGGCTCTTTGATGTTGTGCTAGGATGCCTCATGTTTCCTCTCGTCAACCGATTATCACAGTTCAACCTCAACTTGTTACCCCTTATGCCTTCTACACCTGTAACCCTTTCAAGCGTTGAGCAGTCAATTTTATCGAGGGATCCGGTAGCCATGGCACTATATGCAATAGTAGTTTCAATTTGTGCTCCTGTATGGGAGGAGATAGTTTTCCGTGGTTTCCTTCTCCCTTCATTGACCAAATCATGCCTGTATGGTGTGCAATACTGGTTAGCTCAGTTGCCTTTGCTCTGGCACATTTTAATGTACAGAGAATGTTACCACTTATTTTCCTAGGAATGGTGATGGGTGTTGTATTTGCACGGTCAAGGAATCTATTGCCATCTATGCTTCTGCACAGCCTCTGGAATGGTTTTGTGTTCTTGGATTTAATGAGATAAGCATCTTTGTCTTCTCATATTAGCTCTATTGTTGGTTGATCTTAACTAAGTGAAGCATAGGCTTCAGGTAAATTTTCTGGGGTACGCGACTTTGCAATGTTTAAGCATATTCTTGTCGATAGACAAGCTTCTTCATTGTATCTGCAACACAAATGAATGCATAGAAATTTTGTACGGTTCCACTAACTGAATGCTACAAGTAACATGCATGCAGCATGCTGATAGGCCATTCAGTTGATCCAGCATAGCTTAAGAGATTTGCTCCACTGTTTCTGTTTGTCTTTGATTATACCAGGGACAGTCAAAGACCGGGGACGGTAAAAGCAACAAAGATAATGAAGATTATATCTCCTTATTAGCCAAAGGCAATCTCCCATCTTGGAATTGTAGAACTGCATGTTTTAATTTGTTAGGTGAGGATGTTTTACTTTCTTTATGGTAAATAATAATTCTTTTACTTCCATTTTTGTAGGGTGCTTTTGAAATTCATTCTGCTATGATTAGGCCAAGCCAAAAATGTAATCAATTAAACTATATTTTAATAGAATGGTCTTAATTTTTCTCCTTTTCCTAGAAAAAAAAGCGAAGGCTCTTTTTTATAAAAGATACTTTACAGGTATAGAAAAATGCATGCTTTCTGCTTTGGAAAGAATCCAGGAACCAGATCCATGTGCCCACCTTCCATTAATCAGTATATGCATGGAGATTCCCCTTTAATTTATTAGTACTTAATTGTCATGGCTACTTTTGCCCTATCATTGTCCTTTTCAACTAATTATAAATTGCTTTTGACAGAATCTTTTGATTCTCTTTCTTATACAATTTGATCCTTCTTGGTGCTAATGATCATATCCCCAGAAATCACTATCAAAACCCAAAATAGAGGATGCAGTACATCAATCCTCTACGATTCTAGCAGTAGTGCATGTGAGAGTGGCTTGATGACAACAATAAACGTCTTAGCTTTTGCAGCATCCACAGTTCTTGGGAGATTGCTTTGATATTGAATATTCATGGTACAGCTGTAGTGGGAATCCGACATTGATCCATCTCTTTTGTGCATGATCGGGCACTGTATAAAAAATAAAATGGTGCAGCTGATATTTTCAAACCTTTGTCTCATTCTTCCATCGAAAATTGCGTCTTTGTATAATTAACTACAAATATATGAGATCAATCAACGATTCTGGTTTCAGACTTAAA